ATGGAAATAAGCTAGGGTGCTGATTTCGTGTCCTCTTTATCAGAATGCATAGGCCTCAATGAATCCCAGATAACATGGCTAAACCTTCTTCAGTCAGCCCACTGGACCCTATCCACAAGGAGTCAACATTTTGATAAATTTGAGTGCCTTTGTTACAAGATGCTACAAAATGGTTGAATAGCCAGAAAGGATCCAGATGGCAATACCCAACAGAGTAAGGGAAAAGAAGTATTTATTTATTAAATTTATGTGCCTCCCATCTCATCTAGAGGCGACTCTCGATGGCTTACAAACATTAAAGCCAGTAAACATTAAAAGGATAAAACAATAAATAATAACTTGTCACTAAACTAAAGGAGGAGAAAGGAGCACAAAGAACATGGGGGGAAAATGGGATCTTCTTTTAATCTGATACCACCTCCAGACAGAGTTATATGCTTTGCCTCCCTTACTGCCCTGAATCCTGGCTAGTACCTATGCTTGGTAAGATTCATTTTCAGGGTTGTATATGGGATGTTGAGTATGAAAAATTTTACTCTCCTTCACTGAGCCTTTCCTTTCATATTTGCAACACAGTGCAAATGCACCACGTGTACACTTTTAGATGTTTATTTAGATTCAACTACATATGGTTTATTTAGATGTTTAGATACATTGTTTGGATGTTTATTTAGATGTTTAGATAAACATAGTTTGTGGACTACCATGCTATAAACAACATAATAAATGTGCTATGCAAAGTCAGACTATTTGCCTACTTAGTTCAATATTGTCTCCTGTGGTTCTAGCCCTCCAAAATCTCAGGCAGAACTCCACCCACCCACCCTCATTTTCTTCCATCTGATATTTTATTAAATTGGAGATGTACTGACATGCAGGTTTGTTGTCTGAAAATAATGGTCATATTTTCTCCAGTTTCCTTCTGAAGGTCAACCTATTAAAATCAGCAGGTAAAGCTGTTCATAACTTGGAGATAAGTATTATCACCTGCTATTTTCAACAGGTCAAACTAATATTAACACACAGAAAAATGACCAGTAGAAACCAAAGTTGGTTCTTCTGTTCTTAAATAACACGTATATTAAAACTCTGGTGACATTACTGAATTATCTATAGTAGGTGTGAAACAATGTGTTAATTCTTATTGTGGCATCTCCCAAATATCACGAAGATACTGGACAGAAATGGCTAAGCATCCTAAAATTACATATTTTCTGACATTATTTGCAAGGCAAAATGAGGACCCAGACTGTTAGTGGCAATATGTTGACTCTATAAACTGCTTAAAGAGGGCTGTAAAGCAAGTGCTATTGCTAAAATGGGACCTTTTCCTCAGAAGTCACGGAGGTATATTTCTGGAAGTTATTAAGGACCACAATTGCTGGTCCTCCTCTCTGTGAATATACAGCACAATATGGGCACAGATATAATATTCCTATTGAGCTATTCTTTATTCACAGCACATATAAATGATGCAAACACCACAAAGGTAAGAGAATATCTCCAAAAAGCTTCACAGGAGAAACTCCTTTGCATCCCCAAACTATGCCATAAAATGAAAGCATTCTCCATCTCCTCTTGCCTTTTCACATCATATGATGTTTCCAAGAGGCTTCATTGGCTAGTGCAACCAAATCAATGGTCTCTGCTTAGAGAGGGAGTCTATTTATGTATTGCATTCAGATAACAGAAGTAGCTGAAAATAGTCTGCACAGTATAAGAGCATTCCAGAGGCAATTAGCTTATCAGTAGGTCCTGAGGTAGTTTGTGGCATTTGCCAACTCATGGGCTGTCATGGAAGGATAGCCTCCAACGACCTTTTCTCAATGACATACTTCATTTGACTCACACTACTGATAACAAGGCTCCAGCCAGCTCTAGGATGAAGGAAAATGGGCAGAAGGGTATCAAATATAGTGGTTGGTGATTTGGGAGAGGATGGAAAGACAGGAACGATTTTAGCAACTAATATTTGAATATACCTGACCTTCCCTCCTCAGGACTGGGATGCAAACATCTGAGGATCCTTAGATTGCAGTCAAATACAGAAAAATCTGACTGCCATCTAAGTGGCTATCCAGATTTTTGAAGCCTAGATCTGGTAACTCTGCCAAATGATTGGTAAAATGATTGTTTTTCTGGAAAAGGCATTCTATATCATCTCACTGGAGTGGATAACTACAATAAATCTATATAATCATATAATAAGAAAACAGAGTTAGTAAAGCAGCAAAATACAATCATTCAATGGAATAAAAACAGCACATGGCTTACAAATGCATCATGTATTTTCATTCATTGAGGCGTCTGCCATCCTCCTTATCCACATTTTTTGCCGAATTGTCAAGAAAGAAGTTGTGTATCATTTTTGCGACACATCTCTTTGGTAACAAATTTTCCAGGCTTTGCAATAAGGAGCCTCAGAAATGCATTCATCATATAGGGTCCTGAAAGAGCTCCTGTGATCCTCCCTTGTTTCCGAACTCCCTTGTGGTGTGAGCACCAGCAGCTTCAAACAGGTCCATCCTCCTGCCTTGTGACTATAAATTCTATTCATGCCTTTATTGTTATCTTGACAGGTCAAGAGACAGAAAATGAGGAGCGAAGGTGTTTGGATGAGATATATGCACATTGTAAAACCTGCTCCAGTTATTTAAAGCGAGTATTTGGATAACTAACCAAATATTGGATTAGCCCAAAGGGTTTGGAAAAAAAGGGAGGAGGGGAGCAAGGAAACCTCAGAAAGTCTTAAGACCACCAAGGTTTTGATACTGTAAAAGGAAAAGAGAAAAAGTCTGATTATAAGAATTGGTCATAAGACAAATCAAATCTTTATTGTGGCTACTAGTCAGGTAAAAAATGAAATTTAACTCCATAAAGTAGTCAACTTAATCTTTCTGATTCATGCTGGATACCAAGAATATCCATATGTGATAAAATATTTTTTTTAAAAAACCTCTGCTTTAATTTTTTCTCCTTCATTTTCTCTCTTACACCCCCTAAATAATTTTCACTGTTTCTTTTTGGAGGACACCCCCCTTCCTTTTGTAAGCCACCATATCATTTAAAAGATCTTTTAACAAAGTGGGTTTAAAAAAAATAAAGACCTGGAAAAGACAATCCCCTGTCCACATATTTGTTTGGCAACCTGTCTTTCCCCTCCCCACCCCACCCCAGCGCTACAACAACAACAACTGGGATATAATCAGAGTTGTGGTCCCAAGGACTCTGGAGAGCCTCCAGCTTGCGGGTACAGTATCTGTGGCCATGAAATACTGGCGATCTCAAGGGAGGGACGGGGGGACGAGAAGGGGATGTGGCAGGTCTCGGTTTCTTCAGCCCCGCCCGCCGGAATGCCTCCGAAAAGAGAGAGAGGGAGGGAGAGAGAGAGCGCCCTGTTTTGGCTTCTCCAGCCAAATCCGCCAGGCGCATCACTCCAAGCCGAACATGAAGCTGAGGACGCGGGAGGAGGCGGCGGCGGCAGGAGAGAGCGACCGAAGCCTGAGGCGTGGAGGCGCAACGACGCCCCTCGGGCAAGCCTCCTACTTCGCTCCTCCAGGCTGCTTTTACAGGCCGGCCCACCTGTAAGCGGCGTCTGAAATGCGTTTCTCTCCTTTCAACACACTGGGGGGGGGGGGGGAGAGAAAAAGAGGTCAACCTCATTCACTCCCGCCTTTTTCAGCACCGCGGCGGCGGCTTTATTTTTGGCGAGGGAGAGCGCGCGCGTCTGGAGGAGATTCCCGTCTCTCTTTCCATTCCCAGGTCTCCCCACCCCACCCCCAGGCTGGATTGGGTCTTTCTCCGCCTCGTTCTTCTCTTCTGCACCTCTCTTAAAGGCTGCCCCACGTGTTGCATTCGGTACCCCGGGAAGTTCTCTCAGTATCCCAGCCGGCTTTGGTAGTGTGGTATTTAACTCCTCTCACACACGCGCTCCCCAACACGCAAGTATGCCAACAAAGGCAACGCATCTCCCTCGGAAAAAGCCGCCGCGGAAGCCCTTTTGGCTGCCCGCGAAGGAAAAGCTGCCGAGTTTCTCCCGAGGCGGAGAAGGCTCGGGCTTTGAGAGAAAGCCTTCAGCCCTGAGGATACACGTTTTATTAGCCTAGCCTAATTCTTCCTCAGAGACTGCGCAGCCCAATCCTGTGTATTTGAGTAGAAAATAAACACCAAGCTTTCGCGCTTGCTCGGATTAAGTCTTCCGAAGCTCACTGTTGAGTTTTCAATGGTGTTTGGTTCTAATGGAGATACCATCCAACAACGGGTTTTAGATTCCCCCCCCCCCCCATGAACTGAGTGACTGTCTTGTTTCATCTTTTGGTAAACTCGAATGCAAGTAGGTGTAAACCCGCTATGCACACACTCAGACACCAATACATACCCGGGGTTGTTTCTACTCTACTGCTCCCCAACAGCCCCCCACCCCCCGTTTCCTTTTAAAGATCTTGTTATCTTTCTTAAACGTCTGGCGTCTGCTTCTCTCCTCGTCTCTCTCTCTTCCACACTTTGTTTTGATCTCTTGATCACTTTTGAGTAAACGTTTCAATCCTGCAAATCACCAGACACAAAACTTCCCCACGACTCCTCGTTCGCCCCTCGTACCCTCTCCATCGTCAAAACAAATCGCCGCCGCTTTCCAACTCCCATCACCTCCGCCAAAACACAGATCCGACTAAATTGGGGTGTGTGTGTAGAAAGTCGCCTTAAATTCCCAGGTCCTCCACATCTCTTTTATCCACCTCGCCCCTTCCATTAACCAATCACAAACGGGGAGGGGGAGAGAGTGAGGAATCGACCAACTTCATTACGCTTTAACTCCTTGGAAAAAGTCAAAGGCATCCCTCATCCGAGGTATTTGCAGGTATCACGTCGGTCGCCATCCAGCTGCTCCCGGGAACTTTGCCCCCCCCCCCGGGTGTTGGCACCCACGCGTCCCCCTCGGGACTACAAAGACAAAAACAGCCCGTGGGGACTCCGTGACCAGACATCCCCCCTCGAATTACCTTGGCCTTTGACCGAAGAGATGCCCAGAAGAGCGAAGAGCGCGCCACACAGTATCCTTCCGCAGCTGCCAATCCCGGCCATGGTTCCCAGAGGCGGAGCAAGGCTGAGGATGGAAGAGAACTTCTGGAGTTTGGGGAAGGTCTTGTGAAAGGTCCGTCCACCTATAAATCCCGTGTATTCGCTCCTGGCTTGCCTTGCAAAACGGGCCGGAGAAGATTTGCGACGTGGTAGCGATCTTCCGTCCTCTCACTTTTACTGACTTCTTGGCCAGATCGCCTTAAGACCCTCGCTCCATTCCCAAGAAGGCTCGGCGAGAATCGGGAGGGGGAAGAGGGCGATTTTAATCCCGGTCACCCCCTCTTCCCCGATCAATTCTTCCCTCAAAGTCTGAGGAAGAACGGGAGACTGCGACATCGGTCATCAGCCCCACATCGCCATCCTTCCAAAAAGGCTTGGCGGAAAGGGAGAAAGGAGAGAAAACAAACGATCCTGCACTGCGGGGCAGAATCGGCAGCAGCCGCGGAGAAGAAGGAGAAGGAGGCGACGCCGCCGCCGCGTCCTTGGGACCGCAGAGGCTCAACAGGGTGGATCGGTAGCGGGAGGTGGAAAGGAAGGGAGAAGTCTGGATTATTCAGAGGTCCGAGCTCCCCCAAAGATACTTGGAGGCTTCGGGAAGGAAAAGCCGTGTGGAGCGAGCGGGTAGCGGTGGCGAGAGATCCACAGTCACACCTACCAAATCCCAGAGGGAGGAGCGAAGTTTTCTCTCGGCAAACGGCGTTCAGGGCCGAAGGAAAAGTTTTGGGGAGGGGGAATCCGGTCTGGGGTCTTTCTCCCCTCCCCGAATCCTCCTCAACTCGCCTTCGGAGCGGTTCTCATGGCGGGAGGCAGCGGACTCGCCTCTCTCCAACATCCCGAAGGCGAGCCAGCCTGGGTTTGGAAGACAGCCGCCCGGACGTCTCTCTCTCTCTTTCTCTCTCTCTCTCCAGGGTAGGAGACTCCGGGCTTCTCCGGCGGACGCGCTTCGCTTGCTACCCTCCCGCTCCTGGCTCGGCAGCAGAGTGAGCCAGGATCAGCAGAGCCAGGAGCGGCGGCAACCTCAGCCAGGGATAGGCGGAGGAAGAGAGAGGCCAGCATTGCCACCTAGTGGCCCACGCCGGCAACAGCGATCGACGCGCGCTCCGCCAAGGCAGACGACGACGCCGGTCCGCTGTGCCGTCGGGCTCGGTAGAGCTGTTGTTAAGGGGAGCGTCATTACGAGCTCCCCCCCCCCCGCCCCAGTCCGCACGAACCTGTACGAACGGCACACCAGCACGCACCCTTCCTACCAACAACGACCCCTTCAGAAAAGCGCCCAGCTGGTACAAGTTTTGCATTTGAGTTGGGTCCCATTGCTTCGGATTTTGGGAAAGTCCGAGGCTGGTAGTGACCAGGGGTTAAGTTTTGTATAGATGTATAAAACCGATGGTATAAAAGGGACGCGGTGGCTCAGTGGCTAAGATGCTGAGCTTGTTGATCAGAAAGGTCGGCACTAGCGCCACGTAACAGAGTGAGCTCCCATTACTTGTCCCAGCTTCTGCCAACCTAGCAGTTCCAAAGCATGTAAAAATGCAAGTAGAAAAATAGGAACCACCTTTGGTAGGAAGGTAACAGCATTCCCCGTTTAGTCATGCTGGCCACATGACCACGGAGACGTCTTTGGACAGCGCTAGGTCTTCAGCTTTCAAACAGATCAGCACCACCCTCTAGAGTCGGGAACGATTGTGTGAGGGGAACCTTTACCTTATAAAACTGAGGAGATTGTTTTAGGCAAATAATCCAGGATTCCATATGTTTCTCTCCCCATCCCCCATATCAAAGTAAATCAAAAAAATAATATTTTGTATGGAGTCATTGGCCCTTTCTGAGCTTGGTTGCTGCTTGTAGGCATTTCATGTATTTATGACTGGCTGCTTAGTAACCATTTGAAGTTACGTAGGAACCCCCCCCCCCTTTAAAAGATACTTATGATTGGGAGGCAAAATTCTGATAGCCGCCCCACCACCTTGCAGTTACTGATTCCATTTTGAGTGTATATATGGCCATTTGCAATTTTGTGGGGTCACATGTGCACAAAGCATGACGTTTTTTAGTGGAAACCACCATTTACTTCTGATTTCCAGCAAAAAAGCACCCATTGCAGACAATGGTTTTGCTTAACAAACTGGCATTTGCTTAATGATTATGTTGATTTCCTAAACAACCTCTGCAAAAAAAAAATGTAAAATCAGGTTGGTCGCATGGTAACCTGCGTAATGACCATCATGGTAACCTGCTTAATGACAACTCACAACCATAATTCCAGGCTCAGTTATGGTCATAAATTGAGGATTACCTGCACCAGATTAGGCAACATTAGTGAATGTGTGTGTGTGAGGGGGGATGTCATATATGTCATAGGCTGCCAGTTTTGGTAGAGATGTGGTTTCCTCCTTAATAATTACTTGATTATGGTATTATTTTCTGCCTGATTGTTTGGTATTAATCGCTGCTTACATGGATGTGGATCTGTAGAGGATGTGTTCTGTGTTTTTTTGTTTCCTTCTTTGTAGATGTGGTTTAATTCTATCTATCTATTGATGGCCATCCATAGACGCATTAGTCATTAATAGTCACATACCGTAGAGATAAAATACATGTCACAGAGAATGTAAAAGAACATATTGAGATAAACTACACAGATCAGCCATCAAGTAGGGAGTAAATCCCACACTCACTAGCACTTTAAATCCAGGTCATAAGTCCTTTTCCAGAGTTCATTGTTAGCTTCAGTCACAATCAGTCATAAGCTGAGGACTACCTACATCCCAAAATTCCCTCATAGTTGCCCCTTTGCTTATAGTCAAGCTCATTCTTGCCAATAAGTTGCCATTCTCATTTGTTCTTCCTTCCACTTTGGGAGAAAGAAGAGTCAGTCACGAGGAGATATTAATGTTTTTAAAAGCTTTGTTTAATTACTGACTTTGAATTATAAACTCTCTGCTTCTGTCAAGAAGGAAGGCAGGAAGACAGGAAAGAAGGGAGGGGGGAGGAGGTAGGTAGGTAGGAAGGTAGGAAGGATGAAGGATTGATTGAGAACAAATATGCTTTTAATGAAAGTGCCTAATAAAAATAAGAATAGAGATATCCTACCGTGACCACCATCCTCAGATAACAGTTATCTGCTATTCTACTGTGAGACTTTTTTTAGACCAAGTATTGAAGTGTTTATTGACTCAGTTTTCACAGATGCCAGAAGGACAAATCACTAGTACTAGTATGCACCCATTCTGAATGTAGAGAAGTGGGGAAACAAGACTTGAGTGCAGCCTTAAATAGAAGGACAAAGAGGAATGGGGACCTTTAACTGGAAAATTTCCCATTTCCAAAACCGCTGCTCTGAAGCCATAGTCAGGCATGCCTTTGTCCAGCTTTGGCTGGTGAGCCAGGTGCACCTCTGGTTCACTGAGAAGCTGTAGCAATGCCCTTCATATTTCCAAATTGTAGTACTGCAATGCCCACTGCCTGGGTCTTTCCATTGAAGAAAATGGATATTCCCACAATATGTGATGAAGAATCTCAGGTAGAGTTTTTTTGGAAGTTGAGTCATGGCAACTGGACTTCTTTCCAAACCAGCTCAATTTCCAGACAATATTTTGTCAGATAATATAATGCCAATTTTGTGGGTGTTATTTGAGCTTGCAATAGTACAGTTGAAAATGCTGGTTTTAACTCTTAGTGCCTTAAAGGAAAAGGCCCTAGTAGTTGCAACACACTTTTCTCCAAACTGGCTCAGGCTTGCTCTGTCTGAGAAAGGATATTCCAGGAGAGTAGAAGGCATAGATTCAGAAGCATTTTTTCCTCTAATGATGCCCTAGGAACATGTCTTCTTGAGATCTGGCTCAGAATCCAGAAGTTTCGTCACTGCTCAGAATGTGATAATAATTTCTGGAGATTAAAATCTACTCTGTGCTATCTATCCATTTGGGGTGGCTAATTTTAATTTTATTAATTACTTTGAGAGTTACTATCTTAATATTCTTATTGGGGGTTTGTTTATAGAAATGTGGATTTTTGGCGGTGTCAAAATACTGGAAATAAAATGCATACAGTGAAAAATAAAATGTCTCCTCCACTTCAATCCCTTCCTCCAGTCAGAAGTCTGGGAGAAATCTGTTCCACTGTGTAAAAGGCCTGCTGCTAGAGCAATTCTCTTTGCCTGTACATTTCTGATAGTACTTGATTAAAGCTTCTACCTCCAAGATAGCAGCAGAATTCCCAGGCTTTCAATCAGAAAATCAGCAGCTACCTCTGTTGCATTTCTGCTTGAGGATTGGAGCAGCGAGGGGCCATAGAGCACATGAAGAAGGATGAAGATTTATCAAGGAAAAACACAATAACAGGAGTTGACAGTGGAAGTGACTGTCCACAAGGAAGACAAAGGAAAGAGCTCAGTGATGTGAGTGCCAACCAGGAGCAAGAAATGCAGGTTATTCTATGCATTGCTTTGGTTCAAAAATAGCACTCAGCTCTTTACTGTAGAAACAGGATCTAAGATTCGGGGGGGAAAGGAACTCAGTATGTTGAATTCGTAAAGAGCAGAGAAATCACATTAGGATTCTATAAGAAGAGAAAAAATAAGTGAGTCGGAGTAGTTGGCAATGAGCTAATTATTATGATGTGTGCTGTTTTTTCATTGTTGATTTCATGTTGTTGATGTCCAAGGTTCTAAGGTTCTAAGCAAAATTTTAAGACAAAAGAAATAAATGGCAAGGAACTGAAAGAAATGAATGCCAAATAAACACGTCTGCATAGGTTTATAACGTTGGCTTGTTGCAGAACAACTTCTAGGTCTTATCAAGTTCGTTGAAAATGACCCTTCTTCTTAATCCATATGAGAGAGAAGTTATTGCAAGAACCGATACAACTTTATACCACAGACTTTGGAGATCTAGGAAAAAAAGCTCAAGATCCTATGATCTCTGGAAGTTCACACCTAGCCTTATGGTTCATGAAAGAACTAGAAAAAGAAAGAATACTGAAAATGAATGATTGGCTGTGTGCATAGGAACAATAGGGAGATGCCAGTCTTAGGCATTATCAGGAGGACAGGAAAGTAATGAAATGTGTGTCACAATATTATGATTGAAATGCCGTTCCTTACATGCAAAGTCCAAACACAAGTATGAAAGATAGAAATTGTGCTGTAATGTCTCAGTCTATAGAGATTCTCAGTCATCCAGGTCATGGCTGTCCCCAAAGATGCATTTTCAAGAGGCAACTGGACTTTCTGGATT